AGTCCTGGTGCATGCCCCTCTCGCCCTCCAGCATGCCTGTGTGGCGTGAGCTACCTGCCATATTGGCCCTTACCTGTGTATGTAATGTCTCTCATCGAGTCTTACATCCGAGCAGAGGAACGAGTACGCCAGGCTTCGTCTAGATTTGGCAGCGTGGTGGGGGAAACCCACGGTCGGTCGGTGACAGTCGTGGTTGCTGCTGCCGACAACGACGGCCCTTGTGGTCTCAGTGCCGCTGATCTTGCATCGTTCGAAAGCGAGAAAACAAGAGATAAGCTGAAGCTTAAGGCAGATCACGTGAGTCTTAATGGTGTGTACATCTCGCAGCGTCTTTAAAATATAAAAATATGCTGTGAAGTACAATGTTAGCAGCACAGCAGCAGTAGATCGGGGACGTTATTCGGTTAGATAATTTTTCGGAAATACAGCAGGATGCTTTACGTGCATCATAACAACCACTCGAAACCCTTCCCGTGCTTCGTGGGGTTGGGATTGCCACACATTTCAAGTGTATTGGTACAGCTGTGCCGGTAACCTCAGCCATTTGGTATATTTGTATCCGACTGATTAGGCACACACTCTGCCCAGCGGTGGTTTTGTTGTTTCTCACATTAGCTCTAATAGTCCGCATGGTGTTGGTGCATGGTTTGTGCGCCGAACGTGACAATGGGACGAGAGAGACGAGGATCTCACGTCAACTCCCGCGACGAGGCGACTGCATGGTCTCCTACTCTCCACCCGCACACTGTGAATACCCCACAGAAGGAGATCATGTTGAGTAGGATCAGGCATTGGCACTAAATCGATCGAAACTGGACTGCAGAAGTCGGCCAAAAGATAGGATAGCTGTCGCTACAACGAGCGACAGCTGATGATGATGTGACTGTAGTCAGACATGTGCGTCCACAAGCGGAAGTGCGTGATATTGAGGCGTATTCCTATCGACTCCCCCAAAAAGCTAATCGATAGGCGACCAAAATTCCCCGATCGGCCAATAAACAATCGGTGCAAGAAAACGCTTCCTATCGCTGAATGCACGCCTTGTTTGACATACAACAGGTCGGATTGGTTTTGCTCCTCATAGAGCGGTGGTACAAGCACAAAAATGAGCAGGACAGCACACTTGTAAAGACCCTGTCCACCCGGCCTGCTGTTTTCAGCACTGGGGGCAGGGAGCAATGTCACAAACTGGGTGTCGCCTGTGACTTCCTCAAGCCCTTTCACTCATTTTTCCCGTGGTGACCCAAGTGTGACCCCCCTTTCTTACCACTCCCAGTGAAAGGTATCAGGGAAGCTGCACCCAATACTCGCAAACCGCCACCTCGATACACGCATCAATCTGACGGTTTTGAAGAGCGTAATTGTACCGCCGTTAGAGTACGCCGGAGAAGTATGGGAAGGAAATAAGAAAGTAGTGAAAGAACTCGAGACGGCGCAGATGGAAGCAGCGAAAATCATCCTAGGATTCTCCAAGCGCACAAGTGACCCAGCCGTCAGGGCAGAATTGGGGAGAAGATATCTGTTGCTTGTGCCGAGAGAGGACAGAATCTAAGGAAAGAATCCAAGGATAAGGAAGGTCTAGAAGTGTACGGGAATGTTGAAGGAAGGAATAGGGTTCAAGGGTTACCTACATGGACCAATGGATGCAGGAACAAAGCTTAAGGTCAAATTCAGGACCGGGGACATAGGCCTTCGAGAACGTCGACGAAGACATAGGACGGTAGACGANACCTCGATACACGCATCAATCTGACGGTTTTGAAGAGCGTAATTGTACCGCCGTTAGAGTACGCCGGAGAAGTATGGGAAGGAAATAAGAAAGTAGTGAAAGAACTCGAGNGGGGCTCGACGTCGACGAAGATGAAACGCTGGAAACGGAGGGTCTACAGGGGTTCAAGGAGCAGCGATCTGTTGCTTGTGCCGAGAGAGAACAGAATCTAAGGAAAGAATCCAAGGATAAGGAGGGTCTAGAAGCGTACGGAATGTTGAAGGAAGGAATAGGGTTCAAGGGTTACCTACATGGACCAATGGATGCAGGAACAAAGCTCAAGGTCAAATTCAGGACCGGGGACATAGGCCTTCGAGAACATCAACGAAGACATGGGGCGGTAGACGACGGAGACGACGAGTTCAGATGTGATTGCGGCTTCGAATGCGAGGACCGTGTTCATGTAGTCGCGGAATGTCCGTTGTACAAGAAGGAGAGGGAAGTGTACGTGACTGAGCTGGGAAAAATAGATGGGACGTACAGGGAGATGTTTGAGGCATGGAATAGAGAGGAAAGGACGGTAGCTGTACTGGGGCATAGGAGGTGGGTTGAAAAGGCGGGAAGGGATATCGTTAGGACAGACAGACTAGAGACGACATTTTTGAGCCACCTTTGGCAAAGTAGAAAGGAACGATTGGCCATCGGTGATCGGTCCTGTGGGCACAGTGCTCCGTCCTCTCGAGGACGCCTGGTCAATGGTCTAACCGCTAGGGCATGCAAAACATAAGAGTACGCCCCCTCCCCCCCCCCAGTCAAAAGGTAGACGAACTCAACAATCATAGAGAGGCGGCGGCGCTGAGGGTCAGTATCATCTACATGACCAATCCGAAAGAATTAGCGTGTCGAAGACCCTATTGCTCTACCGCTGTGTAGTGCCGTGGGTTTGTGGGGCTGTCTGCGACCCAAAACAGGCCATCTCACCGCATTTTTGCAAACGGCAGTTTGGTGAGGTGGTGCACAACTCTCACACGTCTTCTAGAGCAGCACCCGAGCCCCTAGTGCCCACGAAGCAGCACAGCGCCTGGAGTGAGGATCATATTAACAGCCGAATCGAAGGAATCAGCGCGTTGGAGGCCTTGGGGCTGCTGCTGTCCTCACTCTACTGCCTCCGTGTTTGTTATGTGTGGTAAAAAAAATCCGCGCGCGTCAACAGCAGCAGTCGAAGTCGAGGGCACCATGCCATGTCTCGGTTTGGACGAACGACAACCTGAACGCGACTTTTACCGCTGTTCTCTCCGCTGTGCCCGCTGTGCGTGTGTCGCTGTGCCCGCTGTTCGTGCGTGTGTTTTCTGCTTTGCGTGTATGCCTGTGCGTGTGTTCTGCAGCTGCAATCTGTTGTGTGCTCCGAAAAAAAAAATGTGCTGACCCCCCTCTCAAATGACGTGATGTAGTCTAAAACCTAGATAAAGCGTTACAAATACAAAAACTTCTTTTTGAATCGGGCCCTATTTTGCGACGAGACCTCAGGCCAGATTAGAAATCTCGCTTCGCTCGAAGAAGACCTGATTTAACCTTACATCCCAGTGAAGTAAGCAGAGATCGTAGAGTGGCGCGAAGATGCCCCCACAAATTACCGTGAAGCCTTCCCCCATACGGACTGACAAGGAGTTCAATTCCGATGCTGGAAGCGCACCAGCAGGATGGTTCGCATTCAAGTCCCAACCGCTCTGAAGTTGAATGACTTGGCAATCTGCGGATTGCCAAGAAGGTTTGGTAGAACTACTGTAGGTCGCCTCTACCGCGAGAGGTGGGGCAGATAAAACCGAGAGTTCCTCCCGGAACAGTCTCTTGGATTGTGATTCCACTTGTTATGGCGATATTTCATAGGGGAGCAGCTCCTGTTCTTGCCTCCTCGACTAAGAGTTCCGATCGGGGGCCACCCAGGTGGCCCCTCATCGCTGAACACTGCGGTGTTGCCTTACTGCTTGCGCGCGACAAGAGTTACGAGTATTCGTCAAATAAATGTATACACGCCAACAAACGCGTTGGCTCAGTAGTGGGTACGACAATGAGGAACGAAAACATTCGAGTACCTAAAATTGCATCACAGGCTTTGTGCTGCTGTTGTCGACGCGCATCTAGCCAGTCGTTTGTGTGCGTACGCCGCATGCATGTTTGCATGTTTTGACACTGGTGTTTTGAGGTGTGTCGTGTTTTCAGTGTCCGGTGTAGTAGGGGTCTCAACCGTCCACGAAAGCAGAAGCATAATTCAAGTCGGAGACAGCCTACACGTTTCAAGGCAACTTAAGAAAAACCTCGGGTGTGATCGCCCCATTGTGCTGACCTTGTTCTTTTGAATGTTGTGGTAGCATGTTCTCTCAAATGAGCCACATGTTGATTATTTTCAGGGAAGTGGTTTTAACTGTCGACGTTCAGGACGTTGGCCTAGCAGGAGGGTTATGCTCTTCCCCGTGCTTGTGCAATGTTTATTGGCTGTCATGCATGAGCCCCACCTAGCGCAGCGCAGCTGGCCTGTCTGATGACCGACGTCTGTTCATCTTGTCCTGCCGGTCCCTCACACCCGCACCAACTCCCCCGCGTGTTTAACGCAGGTTGCAAAGTTCCACCGAAAGGTGGTCAGACGCCTAGCTACAGAAAAGCGCGCCGCACATGCCCACACTCGTGGTGGAAGGGCTGTAAAAGCACAAATAGGTTCCGCCGACAGTTTTGCGAATTTCGGGGATCGGTTGGAACCTCGTGGACTTGCGCCTAGGGAGGCACAAGGCACACCGAGGGAACACACCTTGCCACGGGATGAGGTAAATGTGCAGGACGAGCCCACCGAGTTGGTTGCCGAGTTGCTGCTGCGATTTATGTTTTCCAAGTCACTCCACGGCAGGATAGTCATCAACATCAATCAGCTGTGCAAGTCCTGCTGCTACTACCATCACTAACACTGCTCTGGCAACCGTTTCGTGAGCCCCGCAGGCAGCACAAGCAAAAGTATGGCTACGACAGTTGGACGAGGGAATGCCTGGCATGCTGCAGGCAATATGCCGTCTTCAAGCTGCTTATCTGTCTTGTGATACGTTACATATTCCCATTCACACAGGCACCAAATTTCCAAGCTATCAAGGTCATCGGAGTGCGCGGACACAAGGGCAGCCTGGCGGATGCTGATACTGAATCAAGGATGGCCCTAGCGGCCTATCGCCAGTGTTGAAAGGCCACCACGTCATGTGGACAGTTGTAGATACACACATTTTTTGTACATGGTTTTTCACAACGAAGATTGAGATTTGGAAATGTAGGTATCACCACGCTTTGGTGAAAGGACTTGGCTTCGGTGTAGCTATGACCTACTTTACTTTTGTCGGGCCAACGCGTATGATTGTTGCATGTTGTTGACATGCCTCGTCCAGGGACTTCCTATCGTATCGGGTACATAACAGATGGACACCATGGTTTGTTGAAATTCGGTGGTTCGAGACCCGCTTAACTGCCGCAAAGCTTGCTGCTCGTTGGCTCCCCTATTCGAACTGATTATGTTTTGCCGGTAGAGAGGCCTGTAGAATAGAGTTAATGTTTTAGGTATCAGGCACCCCGGACGTGCGGCACACAGTGAGGTGTACGTTTAGTTTTGTCGAGCTTTTCGAGCTTTTGGGCACACGTACATGTAAGATGGACGGACGCAGATACACAACGACGCATGTATACGCGTGCTAGTTGATGGTGTTGTGTCTTTTACGTTGTCAGCGATTAATTTCCAAGTTGGATTCGTTCAAGAACCTCGAGAGGGTCTTGGGTCCAGCTGTTCGCAGGACAACAACCGTCTTTCTCGGTATTCCCTACAACGACTGACTTTTGTATATATATCGTGCTCCACGTTTTTGCATCTTTTCACTGGACCGTCGTCGTATGTCATTAGCATCCTTTGGGCTGCTACCGATGGCGGCGCAACAGTTGGAATGTTGGATATAGCATACAATCGGGGAAGTTGTCAGTAACTTGTGCCCCGTCAGTCATTAGTGAATACAGTTTGAGTCCAAAGCGCTACAGAAGTGGCATACATACAGCGTATTAGTAGACAAACACAGCCGTTATTAGTGTGGACAGGTATGTATACGTACCAACACATCAATTGGCAATGTATGCATACGTGGAAATGAATGTCCTCATGAAGCTGCAGCACTTGTACAGTGTGCAGATGCTTTTTACACTTTTTGATGATACGCAAAGAACTATCAGTGTTTTGTTGATTGTGGTGCTATGCTGTTGCCATCTGGTGTAGTATTCACCTCCTACCCATTTATGTTTGCTCTGAAGTGGCCAAAAGAGGACAAAACAGCGAGGCGTCAGCGTGTGTCGGCTGGTTAGTACTTACAACTACAGCAGTTCTTTGCCCTTTGGGGATCAGAGCTCTGAGGATCCCGGGAATTGCTCAGCTACGCAAGGAGGAAACCTATTAGTCACACTAAGGTTGTTTGTAAGACTTATAAGCTGATCTCGTGATGTGCTTGCTCGTGGTCCGTGGTCGCGCGCGCCAGGCAAAAGTAGTCTTGAGTGATGCCAAAAAAAAAAAACTCTGCGCGAGTTGGACACCCCCTGCCCCCGACAGAAACATGCCGCTCCACCCATCATGTTGCATGCGCATCTGGCTGCTCCCTCCTTTCATCTCTCTTGTCTTCTCACTCCCATTGATCCATCGCCGTCCAATCCATCTAATTTTTCGTCAACTTCCCCATCCTGAACATGAAGACTGCATTCGCTGTTGTGGCTCTCTTCGCCGGTGCTAGCGCGTTCAACGGTAAGGGTTCATCAGGGTGGAGGGTTACTGGAGTCAAGAAATGTCGCCTTCTTGCGCGCGCGTGCGTGGAGGTTGAAGATAATGATTGCTGAGATAATGGCCAGCGGTTAGGGATGGGAGAGCCGTAATTCGTGAGAGTGCTGACCCATGATCGAGTTATTGCATCTTACGGCTTCCTAGAGCGGTGCTCCGTGATAGCTGAGTGATTTGAAGGTGCTGAGTCTCGTTTTGGGCTCAAAGTCGGCCATTTTCACATGTCTCTGATTCTCTCCCTGTCTCTGCCGTGTGACTCACACACACAACCCAACCCCCTCCTGTCGTCCGGGTACATCACCCGACAGAGTGAGTTTTTTCTCGATCATGAAATCCTGGTCTCCGTTGGAAGTGACGCGCTGCAAAACTCGTTGTTTGTAATCTTGATGACTTGATAAGTCGCGAGGGAAGGGATTGGTGTACCCTTTTCGCGATAAAAATATCTCCGGCAGGAACCGCAGGATGGGGTCCAACCCCCCCTCCTATGTGACCCCGGTTGGGTCGTCTAGCTGGTAGAAGTGTCCAGAGGGGCAGACGACAAAATCCAATGATGGGAGGAAAAAAAAAAGTACTCACCAACCCCTCTTCCCATTAGCGTCAGCTGAAGTCGATAGATAGATCAGGACACCTGTGTTGGCCACCGTGTTGACCTTTGTCGATGTCCCAACGGTACCCTACCTTTGCAGTCGCGGTGCCTGCTTCCCGTGTTACGTCCACGCGCGCATCATCGACGGCGGTGTCGGCTGGATACGTACCGGATGGCCTCACCGCGCAGCAGTGGGAGGACATGAAGAAGGAGAAGGCAGCGAAGGCAGCAGCGAGGAAGAAGGAAGTGGCCAGCAAGAAATTCGAGGTGAGTTCATTAGTTGTGCATTTCGCCTGCTGAGGCAGCCCTTCGCTAGTTCCGGCCGTGATGGCTGTTGGGTGTTGTTAGTTCCATTCTTGCCCTTTACAGATGAAGGAGGTCACGAACATAGCGCGTGTATCAGTTGTGGACTGATTGTCGTACGTTCGTCTGCTGCAGCGGGGTTCCCCCGCGCTTTGCATTGAGACGTTGTTGACGAGTTAGGGGCCGTGCTTTGAGCTTTGAGATGGCAGATATGTCTGTTGCCTGACGTTGAATGTGTGTGCATAGTGCGTACCAACTGAAAACTGGTATCGAGATTTTTAGAACGGCCGGCATTCCGTCGTCTCGCAGGGATAACTCCCCCGTCGGGCATACGAAAGTATGCTATAGTTTAGACATGCCCGAACCTTAATAGTCATGCGCCCAAGCAACGCCGCTTACTCCAGCTTCCTCACTCAGTTCTTCCTCTCCATGAGAGACTCGGTGATTTTTGGTCAAACTGATGAAATATTTCATGTCCGTTTGTTTGATTGTCGTTGTCCGAGAAGGGTGTGTGTGTTTGCTTCGGGATGACAAGTTGGACACTACCTCCTGGGTGTTCAGTCATGCAATTATTAGACAAGTCCCTGTCGCCATTTCCGGCCGCCACTAGCTTGCGTCCATCTGCTGTCAACTGCGCTGGAAATATGTGCAAGTGTATGCGTTGTTGCGATATCGATTGCTTCGGTTGGAACAGCAGGGAGTTGTTTATCACGAGCGAGGATGCCCCTGCGACAGAAGCACTCCGTTATAGTGTGCATGTTTGGGTGTTCGAAAAAGAATACACAACACAGAAAGACTTTGAAAGACTACCCGTTCGCGATATACCCACATTCGAACGGGATGTGGTGGATTTTTGCTTTCTTCGGATATTGCGGCATGTGTGCGGCTGAAATTCTGGATTCCTTGGTGGCCCCAGTCCTATGCGAGGCAACCTCGAAACTTTCTGACCTATGAGGAGGAAGTGAACACGGCCACCAGAATCTCGGCGCGGAGGGATTTGTCGCACATGACCCCTAACCGGGTTGAATGCGATTCGTGCATGTGAACAACGGCCGACCTGACGATCTAGGGAAAGGACGGTTGGATCCTTGCCGCGATAAAAAATGACTATCACAGAACGAACGAGGCGGAACTCTTGTGCTTTTTTTAATTGCATGAATCCGGCGGGTGCGACATAAACGTGTACCGAGAAGGTGCATGTAATACCACAGGGTGATGCATTCGCACACGATCCTTTAATCTGAACTCTGAGCAGCTGATTTCGTCAACTGCTATGCATGTAGCTTGGTCCATTTTGGAGTCAGCTCTCTGATCGGATCGGATTCTTCTCCGACACGTTCCTCCATCATCTCTTTTTGGCTGGCAGGACATCGACACCTTCATGAAGGGAATGGAGGCGGGTAAGCGAGGACACACTTTTGCTAAGGTTGACGAGTCTTTGGAGAAGCTTCCGCCTGCCGGAGCACGCGGTGTCAAGCAGAACAAGTAAACAAGCGGACGTCAACCTGGCGCGCTGCGGCGTTGCCCACACTCACCGGTTACCCACCGACCAAATTGTTTGTTTTTGCATCGAGGGAAAGACTTCCCCGCTACTTGGTAGAGGCGAGACACCCGAGTTGTATTGTAAGCTAGGCTATAGACCTGGTACTCTGAAGATGTGTCTTGATGAGTCTTCCTTGTTTGGGGCGAGAAGCTGGCCAGCTTCCTGTGAACCTCGTGCGATCGGATAATCGAATGACGGTTCGACCCCGTTTAGACTGACAGAGTAGGTGGACGATGTTGACCACGAAATCCTTCTCTCGAACGTGTTTTCTGTGAGCTTGGCAGCAAGTATCACACAAGTGCTGCCGGCGGTTTACCAAAGTCAATCAGACATGGAAGGATGTATGCGTGGTCGTGATTCGAAAGCACTTGTGTTTGGTGCAAAGTTTCTTTGCGTCTCGGTGACATGCTAGCTAGCTGCCTTAGGGAAGTTTGTGGAAGGCCTGGGGTCCCATTTTGAAACGTGGCAAGGGTAGATGTGGTTGTGTTGACCACCATGTCTCGCAAGGGTTCCTCGCTGATGGGTGTATCTCTGTGTGGGCGTTGCAGTCAACGTCACACACAAGTGCTACTGGCGGTTTCAACATTCAACCAAACACGGCGAGATTTTGTGTCTGCTGATAATAATGGCTATCGACCAACCCCGCCGTTAAATCGTTGCGTGGTCGGTGAAGAGGCGATGTGTTTGGAGTCTGGCTTTGTAAGAAATTGAATTCTTGATACTGTGGATATAAACCAGATGGCATGGGCCGGAACGATCGTGCTCTTTCTTTGGTCGTTTCGTGCTTCCCAGGGCATCCATTCCTTCGGACTTTTTCCCCTGGTCGTGTCCTGCGACGTACAGATAGCGCCCGCACAGAAGAACTTAGCAGCTAAGAAATTGAGACTCGAAAAACATTAAAAGCTTCAAAAGCTAAGAACTTGAGCGCCATTTGTGAGCCCGGTTAAGAACGCCTACACTTGAACCTATATAGCATCCAATTGTAGCCCACAAGAGGATGATCAGCAAATTAAGAACGCCAGCCTCGGCCGAACTAGAGGTTCTCACGTGCGGGCGCCATCTGTATACCACGGGATTCGAAAATACACCGTGGTCCCGTCGGACGGTTCTTGACCGTTTCCATCTTGCGTCCCGCATGCGAACGGAAGGACCCCACTGCTGTTGCTGTTGCACGAGAAGTCGAAATTCAGGTTCATGTACAAGTACAGCATCCCGCCTTTTGACAACTTTTTCTATCGAACTTGTCGGCACGAAACTCTGAAAAACGTCTGGTTCGGTCGAAAGAAGTTCACGCAAACCTCTAGGAGACCGATACTGACGCAATGCGATTCCTACCATCTCAAACAAAGTTTGTTCTTAGCAAACGATACAAGCGCATCTTGTCCGTGGCTACTGCTGTACAGATTCCAGATTCGACCTTTTGTACCCCGGTCGCCCTGGTGGTCTAGTGGTATCCTCGTAATCCGCTGGTAGAGGTCGTGAGTCCGAATCTCCATGGGGTGAAAAATTCACGAAAATTGCGGGCGAAAGCGAAATATAGCTGAAAAGCTCTCGTGAGCACCAAACTTCTACATTAGCACCGTTGACGAGGGAAAGGGACGGTTGAACAGAGGGAAAGGGACGGCTGGACTCTTCTCACGATAAAGGAAAAAGCAGCACGCACCGCAGGAGGAAGGTGTGGCATGAAAAGAAAAACAAAGAAAAAAGCCCTGGTGTTTACCTCCCTCCTGTGTGATCCTGGATGGTTGTAGCTGTACGAAAAAATCCACTAAAAAGTGTAGTGCTGCTCTACATACGCTGAATAATGTAGTACACGTCTCACCACGAAAGATGGGGGGACTGTCGCCATAATAAAGAGGACAAAAACACACACACACACCCCAACTGCAATTGCAAAGGTTTCAGTGAGCGCTTCCCCGGAAAAAGCAAGAGAAATCTTGTCCCGAAGTTTGGAAGTTTTGGACCAAGTGAATGTGCGATCGGAATCAACTCTTAAGAGCATGTGATTGGTGACTTCGAAATCCGTTTGGCGCCGTTGGTGTAATCGGCCTCGTCCAGGCGAGCCCAGTTTTCAGCCGTCAAACTACCACACAAGATTGGTTCGATTTTCTCGTTTGCGGGCATCTCCCTTCTTGAGAAAATACCATCCAACGGAAAGTGCCCGCAAATATATTTGTGCAGCGAACTCCTGTTGCGAAAGTTTCGAAGCCCGTTTATGAATGTGTTGGAAGAGGAATTTCAGCTACCAAACCTCCGACAAGGCTCATCAGTGTTTCGCGCCTGGCTCAAGCTGTGGCCTCGTCGGATACCGCATGCCACGGTTGGTTATCCTCGAGACACCTTTTTCCTGGTGGCAAACCATATATATATACTCCATGAGTTGAGGTTTTCAAAGTTTGTTTCTGTTGCGACTGGATTTTGAAGCAAAATTGCCGAAATGAGTAGGACAACTTTTTTCCCCCTGCAACATTCTCGCGTATCACACATGCTAGGGCCCCACAACAAAAAACAACATGCATGCATCGATGTAGCACGGAAGGGGCAGGCACGACGTCGCGTGTTTGCATGGGGGTGTATCCACGAACGAAGACCCACGCGAACGGTTGTCCCTTGTATGTGTAAGTACAGAAGCCGTTGTTGGTTGTCTCAACAGAACACGAAAGTAGGGAAGCTCGCAACTAGGCAACCGCCATGGTGTGGTGGCCAAAATCTGCACAAAGTCTGTACGGTTAGGTGTGGGTCAGCTACCAAACAGTGCGCATGAACACGCCGTGATGCAGGACGGCGGTTTCGACCATGCAATCGCAGAGCACATTCTGACAAGCTCTGCGCACCGCTCTTGGGCAGAAAAACACGTGCTGGTACGTATCTGGGTTCCTCATGGAAAACGTAAGCAAAACTGTTGTTGCATGTACCGAAAAGAACTCCTGGTGTCTGGCATCACGACATGGTGCGCGGATAATGAAGACCACCCTAAATTAAATACACCAACGAAGTACGCCGCCGGTGACCGGTCAAGTTGTGGTTGGCGCATGGGCCTCGTTCCACATCTTCTGCACCTCCTCGCCGGCCTGCGCCGACTCGCTGCCGTCGCCGTCCGAAAGCAACGCGAGCAACTTGAGGGCTAGACGGCCCTTCTCGTCGCCGGCCACAGCACTGTGCTGAAGAGACAAAGCACGCTCGAACTCTTCCGACTTGAGCTGCGCCGCAGAGATGACCTGAGCATGCGGTAACGGCAAATATGAGAATATCGTAAAAAGATAGCACTGAGAGGGCTTTATCACTGCACCATCGCTTCGTTATGGCCATGCCTATGTGTTCTGGTCGACACATCAGCCACATCGGCGTGGTCATCTCTACTCGAAAGTAAGCACGCCCAAACTAACTCGACGTATGCAGCAAAATTCAAAATGGGCTTCGCGTTGCTCACAAAACCAAGATCGAATAAGCGCGACTCGGGGTTTTTCATGACAATGTATCTCGAGAAAGGTGTCGCGATCTGCTCCCAAAATAACCACAAACGGAATAAGAAGTAAGGGGGGGAGG